AATATTAACGCACCTATCTAATTCAAATGTTGAACAAGTATATAAGCTTATATTATTATTTATTAAATATACTAAATTTAAATATATGAAAATGAGGTAAACAAGTATGTTCAAAAATTTTAAAAATCAAATTTGAATATATTTTTGGGAAAATAAGGATTGATCATGCTTAGTGAATCACCCAGTTTATATAGAAACTAAATGAAACTACAGTTAAACTTCAGATTAATAAATATTATTAATCTACGTCGAAGAGAAATACATTTCATTATATTGTATTATGATATTACGAAATAGGTAGGTCGGTAGGTACATAATAATTAATAAGCAACGCAACGTGTTGAAATACTAAAAATTATGATCGAATTACAGCATTAATAGCGCCAACGCCGTCAGAATAAACAATAAGTTGACAAACGACCTTTTGTCCAAGAATACTCTAAACATAATAAAATAATCTAATGTTATACCATAATTATTATATTTTTACACACAACTACGACAATAATATTTGACTGATGATATTCCCTCATAGCGATATGACTATGAGGTATAGCCATGTACTCATGTCTTGGTGTCGTATACCTATTCACATGTACAATTTTGTCACGGGATGATGTACCGTTTTCTCGAGAGGCAGTTGACCGCGAGTCTGTTTTACACGTTGCGAGCACAACAATAATTGTATAAAGTGCGTCGCGTAATAAGTATAATAATAATAATAATAATAATATCGAACTCGCAGCGTGACAATTCGATCGGTAAATCGATGGCACCATCTATAAAGTAATATATAATACAATAAGAAAGACGACCGCGGTCGACAATAATATAATATTATTGTGTTATGACATGATGTGATTATATGAACCGTGATGCAATTTCACGATTTTTCGATGCGCCAGTCGACGGCGGCGCGGCGCTTGGATATTATACGCTGTACGAGGCAAGAAAGATAATAATATATAACAATAATAATATCATAGTTGGAGCGTAAGTATTAATATCGTATCGGCGTGGACTGTGGGTGCGTACTCGGCATGAATGAACCGAATCCATCAGCACGTCGATGGGGACGGTCACACTACAATACATATTGAATTTTGATATAACATTTGTGTATACGCGTTTTAATAACATCGTACCATGTGTTGTTTTGTCACACCTTAACTGTTTTTTATTATTATTATAATTGTTGTCAGATCTCGTCCGTCCGTCTCCTGTTCACCGCGCACATTACAATAATGTACACCCTGACGATAATTAGAATATATATATCGATTTATTATTGTGTTTTTTTTTTTTTCATTTCCATTATACAATTTTACCACGCCTCTATCTTTTGACCGCTGGTCTTATTTATAGTACGTATATTGTTGTCAATTAAGAATAAACACGAACCAAGTCTGTGGCGATAGATATAATATAATAATATGTATTTGTTGAATATGTGCTTGGGAATCGATACTTATATATATATATATTATGTATTCCCTAATGGTTATTTACGGATGAGCGAATTTTCTGGTCGTACGTTTGAATAATTCTTTTACCGAGATAATTGAGTAACAATGTTTTAACGATTTAACGTTCGACGACAATTAATTTACGTATACATATATATGTGTATAAACTGCTTATAGTTTCACTTCACTCTCTAAACGCACGACACTAGGCATTATATTTTTATTATTATTATTATTTTTACTATTATTATTATAACCCTGGGGAGGATAAAACGAGTAATATCGACACAAATGTAAGTTCATAATATTATTATAACCAGTTCAACCATACCTATCGTATAAAAAAATATATTTTGATGGTGACTAAAAATAACGGATCGAAGATGATAAACTATTCATGATGTATACAAATTAAAGTAGTTGAAACTTTTTTTTCTCGATGAAGAACTTTAATACATCCATTTATGATATCCAACATTTTTTTTAAATTCCACCAATTGCAAAATAAAGTAATTTTTAGTATACGACGTAATAATATCATTTTTAATCTCAAAATATAACAATTAAAAATAAAAATATCTACAGACAGTTTCAAAAATATAATACATTCACGTTGCAATAAATAAAATAAATAAAACAACAAAAGAATCTAGTTAAATGTTAAATCGTTATCGATTATCTCTTTAGTATAGACTATAGATTCATATCTATGTATGATGCAATTGTAAAATCTAAAGCTGTAATAAAAATAAATATTGATATCATAGAAATTTCAGCAACGAAATTAATATCGACGTATAAATTTAATTAAATCTATTAATGCTGAATATATTATTTATTATGACAACATTTTACAATCGTAATAGTTCGTTTACCATTATCATGAATATAAATTATTATAATCTACAATATATTTGAGACTAGTGCAAGTATATGACATTTTAACAGAAATACTAGAACAAACACAAACATTATGGATATTGTACAATATTTTACGCATGTAAGAACGATTTCAATAGTATTGACAATCGACCATAATAGTAGTCAACACTTAAACAATATTTACTATCGATATGACGTACTAAATAGTAAATTGTGTAACTACGCAGGATTGAATATAATCCTAAATAACAGTATGAAAGTTTAAAAAGAAATAAGTCTTAATATTATGTTATTGGTAGTCTAATAATAAATAATATTTTTTTAAATTGGATTTTCCGTTCCCGTTTATACTTTATCTACAGTAAAAGTTTCGAGAAAGTAACGCTAACGCTGAATAAACAGACAAATCGAGATATTTTGTAATAAATCTTAGATCATGACACGCGTAGTATTTATAGATGAAAAATGTATTTTATAAAATATAGAAAATAAAATATATCAAAGTCTGTTTAAACATTTGGAGAAATCCTAGACGTTTCACCCTTTATAAATATTTTTTAATACACTGCTAAATTTATAAAAGTATAATACCAATAATACTACGTTGTGTAATATAATTATTGTCGAAATTGATTTATAATATTACATAACGTTCGGGTTCAATTTGAACACATACACTACAAAAACCTGCTACTGAAAGTTTCAATTTTAATAAAAGATCTTTATTTATACTTATATTTAATTTGCACGCATAAAATAATTTATAGTTGTAATTATAAGTTTTTCGAAAATTAATGATCTCAACTCTCAACAAAAATGTGTTTAATAGCGATCGAAAAACTAGTATTTAAACGAGTCAATTAAAATAAATATTTGACTACATTAGTTTTCTGAACCTTAGCAAAATATTGCTAATTAATTTGCAAAATAAAATTTCTCGTTATTCAACGTGTGAGGTTTTAAAAAAAATATATAATACATTACATATTTCTTATACCGTATTACCCAAATTGCTACTGTAAATTAATCTTGAATTCATACCTTGTAAAACTGTAAAACCATTAGAAAGACACCTCAGTTTAAAACGTATGATATAATATGATAAATACATAAATCGATCGGTTTTCTATTCGACGTACCCACTATATTATAATATTATAACAGTGTCACTTCTGCCTGAAGCTATAAAATCCGTTGCAAAAATACATCATCGTCTTCCCTTGGCGTTTCTACAATATTTTCTCGTTTCTACGCTCTCGCAATCTACCTACCTACTGCCTACCGGTTTCCGATAAATAATACACGCGCGTGCGAACATAATATACTGTAGCCAAGAAGACGTCCGTAGATCTGAATAATCAACTGTCACTCATAAAATTGTTTAAGTACAGTTAGATCATTAAACGTAATATTTATGAACACTATAGTGCGGTTTACTACACAATTACGCGTGTATATTACACTTTAATACATGCAATAATATATCGATCGGAAGTGTTGTAACTGAATATTATAATATCGTATTGTTGTAATGGATTATTACTAGTTGGGTCGCCGAACTAACGCGCATTTAATGTTTTAAAAGTACTCGAACAATATTACATAGTTATAGCGATAATATCGTAGTACCTACCTGTAATACCGATTTATAATATACCAGTATACCACACATAGAAATCAATTGATAGACCGCCGGCCGAATGAAAATAAACCGTACTCAACGGCACGATGATAAATAATTATTACACACGTATTGTTAGCCGTTAGGTATATATCGTGAAAAAGTTATCTGCTGCAGTTATAATATTAATAGCTGGAATATATGTACAAGAGACAACACGCATCGCACTGCACGGTTCACATATTATGATGTGTAATGTGTTTTTTATAGTAGACACCGCTTTCAATAAAACACATATTATTATTATAGCCGTATATATAGGTATACACGTATAATATAGAAAACCACCTGTCTATAATCGTATCATTATGAGGGGGGCGGATAAATTAGTATATTATGTTATACGGAGAAAAATAAATACGATTTCGTCCTCACATATATATTATACGCGGTCTTAGATATATCCTCTCTTAGGATGGAGCCATTACAATATATATACGTAGGTATAACTACCTATTCCATCGGTCGCGTATATACTTGTGTCTACACGACCGACACGACAATAACAATAACTCTTTTGAGCCTGATATAATTATACATAATACATATAATACGAACACTGTTTGGAAATTGTTTTCAAACCGAAACGTGACGTTACGTTATAATCGGTTATTGTATTACACGGACGAGTATTTATGGTACACAATATAATATATATATAATAAAGTGTCACGGGTAGTGGTATATCTATGGTGGTAGCACTAAAAGTTGTAGTTGTAAATTGTAATAGTGGTAGGTAATAGTGGGAGACGGACACGTTGTTGTATTGCACAAGAATAAGATGACTCGGGAGACGATGATTCGCCGCCGTTGCGCGCGAGCTGCATGCGGAATGGAAGTCGCATTGTTGTCCAGATCACGTATCTCTATTTCTTTCTTTTTATCTTTCAAACGCGTACACGACTATTGTGGTGTGCGCTGGAGGTACAGTACTTTAACTATGTATAATAATGTATGCTTGCAGTACTTACCGAATATTTGCATGTGTCGAGTATTTCCACTTCTGTAAGAACGCTATCGAACGTCACGTCGTGTCTGTACAACAGGTCTATACGTAACAAAACAAAACAAAAAAGGATTAATTAAAAGTGCATTATGCAAACGGCGTGATAAATTTTATCTATTTTTAAATCAGAAAATGTACTTCGTAGTTCGTACATACCTATACTTGGATGCGGGTACATACATATATATTTATATTTATATAGGATACGATATACAGACAGACAACACTTGGGCATTTATAAATCTACCAATAACACTTCAGCTAGAGTTCAAATTATAAATCAATACCTAGTCCAAACATTTATGTATATTATTCTTCCGTGACAGGGACTTACACGTTTTATAATTGATCACGTATTGCTTAGAAAAAAAAACCGTATAGGCATAATATATTCAATTCGACTTTACTTATATACACTATTCAAAAAGTCTTTATTATAATATTGTATAGTATTCGTAATCATTACATGGGAAATATTGTTTAACATACAAGTTATTATGTATTATGTATAATTATTTTATACTTAACAACAAATTGAATTAAATTTACCATGTTTAAAATACAACTTTCAAGCCACATTAGAACGATTAGAAAAAAGTAGCTCAGTGCTTAGATATTCAAACTCAATTTTTACTAAAATATTCTATTTAAAGATTGTACACCTATAAAGAGTTCAAGGCTAACGTGATTAAAAAAAAATGAAATTATGTATTATTATAATATTTTACTTACAATTTGATCATTTTTGTAAGACGGGTGAATAATAAATAACATTACATAATTGTAACTACATATGAGACTTCATTGTATAATTATATTGTTTATTTCTTTGGAATAACAAATTGTATATTATCAGAAGCGTAAACTAATTGTAAAAATTTTCACTTAAAAATTAGACCTTGAAATTGTATGGTATCCTTAAATACTTATAAAAATTGATTATTATACCTTTAAATAGTTTACTGAAATTTGTAATTTTCACTACATTTAAAATTATATATTATATAGCAAGTAGCAATATAATAACTAATGAAAATCACACGAATTCATACGTCTGCAGCTTGATATACCGTGAAAAACCTTAAATATAATACCTATAATATGAAATTCGAAGATACTTAATATGGTAATTAACTGCATAAGTAACTATATAATTAGTTAAGCACTCGATTAAACCAATAATTAAATCAATGAATAAATAAAAAGATATCATAGATTAGTTCGATTTTTTATTAAACAAATTTTGTATATAATCAAAACTGAAAGTGCAAATCATTTTTATCGAACTCCAAAGAAATTAAAAAAGCTAATCCATTGCTCTCGCGATTTTATCATAGCAGCAAATTGAACACAAACGGTGATAAAATTGAGTTGTTTTAATTTCAATAGGAATAAATATTATATCATTAGAATCAACGAGGAAAAAATATAATCAGAGAAGCGACTATACGTTTTATTTACTATCCCGACAAAGGTGTCCTGAACATAAATATACAAAAATATGAAATATCGTCGCTATATATAAATATAGTGGTACGTAATATTATATGGTCGTATTATAACAACCGTATTTTTGTATTATTATTGTGTGTACGACGATGAGACGGATCTTGCACACCACAATCGATGGCGGCATCGGCTATATCTTCCATATGCGCGCTGCCTACTGAATATTGCGCGAGTGATCAATGCGCGTTATATCCGCCGCCCACAGACTCCTGGCATAATAATAATTTAATAACGAGAGGTGACCATCAAAAAAAACGAGCTTAGAAGGAAAAGAAAAATTTAATTTCGGCGACGGCGCTGGTGCGCATAATATTTACCATACATATATACGCGTATATGTATACAGGAAACGGCGAAAGGAAGCGCTCGTCAATTTTTTTTTTTAAGTCGCGTATAAACCATTTATAAAAACATCGCCGGCGACGAGACGTTTTATTTTTCTCTCGTTTTCAATTAATCGAGTAGGCGGACTTTGACTCTGTCCACCGACGGAATCCTGTACGCCTATTTGTAAATAATAGGTAATATGAAAAAAATATTATACCATAAATAATGCGCAGCACACCGCGGCGTACAGAACCACAGTATTATGTACGTACAAAATAAAATAATAAACGGGCCAGGAATAAACATATAGTAGTGGTATAAATCCAATAACAACGATATTTTGTGATGTTTGTTGAACTTGCGCGCGTGCATAGGTCGTAGCCCACGCGGCCTCGCGCCGCGACTACCGCAAAAACCGTAAATCGGCGGCGGGTCAAAGGTCTTGGAAAAAAACTAGCAAACCATATTAATGTAAACCAATAAATATTATTTTTATACCGTTTACCTATCATGTTGTATATAAAAAAAAAAAAACCACGGGAAAAATCAAAAACGCTTTCGATTGAGATTTATTGTTGAGCACGCGTGACGTATCTCGGTAGCGCGTGTGTGACCACCGACGGCGGGGCAGCAAATGAATAGTGCGGTAACGGACCGAAGGACACGAATTTTCGCGTCACGAATCGTGTTACCGCGGCTGCGGTATCTATATAATGTTATCGTATGCGTATTTATGTTTATAAGAAAACGAGGGAAGAAAAATACGTAATATATAACAGTAAGTATTGGCCGTTCCTACGATTATTTTTTTTCTCCTCTCCGCGGCAGTACCGTAAAACGTTTATTTCGTTATTATTATTATTATTATTATTTCTTTTTTAATAGAGTTAACCGAGACCAAAATATATAATACAGGATGCGACGTCGGCGGCGACTGGTATCCCCGTGGAAGTAGTCACGATGAGATGTATACATAATATTATTATTATTATACACTTATAATATGCTTATCAGATCGGTTCTGACCCGCAAATGAATATGTTATGTGTCACAGGTGGAAATCTGTGGATATAGGTATACGCCGCACAGGTACCTGTATAATATAATACATTTATGTATGTGATATGTGTTTATTCATTATTGTAATATTATAGTCTACGGCAACGCCAATGCGCCAACAGTTCTAGTTTTACGTGCTCATTCGATAAAAAACAGTTTGTATAGACCACGCATACAAAGTTGTTATTATTAGTATTATTTTTATAATTATAATTATTATTATTACTGTATACAATAAAATATAATATAGAATGGTTGGAGGTACCTATATGTACGTGTACTGTTGCAGAGCTATATCGTTGTCGATATTTATGCTACCAATGTTTACTAACCTTAACCAGATCGTCACGCAGATTATCTGATCATTTAGTTGTGTTCAAGTGTGTTTGCTCGCAATTGTTGACGACAAGATTATTACCATTTATTACACTTATAATAATTATTATCTGTCGGTAGACTGCATAAGGATAAGGGTATTAAATAGTATTAACACAGTAGGGTGTTAAATAGTATTAACAATACACTGTCGCATTATTATTATTATTTTTATTATTATTATTATTAATATTATTGGTATTGAAAGATCATAGACCGTAGATATTATATATATATATATATAATAATGATAATAATAAATATATATATATATATATATAGTCACGTAGTGCATCGCTTCGGTGATAAAGTGCATATTGTTGCACTGTTGTTTAAAGTTTAAAGTATTAAACCATATTACGCGATTAGCCACTAAATTCTCACGCAAATGCAAACAACCAAACGTGCAGATAACAATGACCAAATAGCTCTAACGGCAATAATAAAATAAACATGCATTATTTTGATCGCAATAAATACAAAAATAGAGTCGTTAAACTTTAGGTGGAAATTATACGGATTCTGTTATTTGTCGTCTGCACTTTGCACACTTCTACGGGTTACTAGTTATTTTCCACTAGACTATAAACACGCATTGGAAAGTGTAGTTACACTTTAATTTATTTTTTAATTTAGTGTTTAGAAGAAAATTACTTAACAATATATTACAATGTACGTATCGATAAAAATACACACACCTCACGTCTACAATGAAGGACATTGAGAAATCGTACTCATATCAAACAATATTTCATCCAAACGCGTATTTCAAAAATATGACGTCGTTAAAATAAGAGCTACGTCTGATGTTCTTTCCATGAAATCATAATAATTACGAATTATTTATTACTAAATCACAATAATATCGGCGTGTGTCTAAACATAAATACTTACTGACCTTTTGGTTGGGTTCGTGTCAACGTTTTCAATTTGAATCAAACAGCATCGAGCGTGGGTATATGCATATTTCTTCTGATGCACATTTTATATTATAACATTATAACAATGTGTATAAATAATAGTCAATAATAATAGAATACATTACATTATATTTTAAAGTTAACTATGTTACTTTTATTCGAACGTAAAAATAAAAATGTAGAACGTATAATAATTTAAAAGAATAAAATATAAATGTTTACCCATTTTAACTATCACGTAACAATGTATTCACTTCGACTACAATAATAATAATTGGTGTAATGTAAGATAATGTAATTTTACATTTGTTGTTCCGAATATATTTATGTACCGTTAGGTAATACTTAATAGATTATTGTTGAAAAATAAGTTCAGTATTCGTTAAGCACGTAAAAAGCAATGGCGTTTAAAACGTGAATAAGAATACTATTACAAACCAGCATAAGCGAATGACTGAGTTTAATTTGGATCTTACTTCAGAAGTTTGTTAACTTAGAAAGATATTGAGTACAAACGAGGGAATTAAAAGCACAAATCTAGCAACAAACAAAGTAAAAACGTAGGGATTCAATTCTATTTCGAAATTTCAAAACAGAGTAGACCGCGAGGATAAGGACATAGAACTTTTATTCAGTATTATTGACATATAAATATGCGATGGAGTTCGTTGTACTTTCACAGTGTATGATTTTATAGTACACAAACCGCTAATAATTATTCAATACGTATTTATTTAACCTTGCCAAGCATCTAGTGGACTGTGAATGGTGGAATTAAGCTAATAATGTAGATATAGGTTTTCGAACTTTAAGCTATTTTAAGCTACAGGTTTATACGTTACATGTTTTTAC